ACGGTGGTGGTCTCTTTGCACGACGCCCTGTACGGTGTGTACCTCTAACGCCTGCCCATCGGAGAAGGCGTTCTCTGTGGTGCCGGGAACACCGGAATTGGAGAGACAATGAATGGGGATGAGTACTCTTTACAGATGAGAGCAGATTCAGTCTGAGTAGCGATTCTCATCGCATACTCATTTGGAGAGAGCGGGGAAACCGCAATCATCCCTCGAACATCATTGAAAGGGACAGGTATGGAGGTGGCGGTGTTCTCGTTTGGGGAGGCATCATGCTTGGTAGTCGTACAGACCTTCACATCTTCGACGCAGGTTCAGTCAACGGGACCTGTTATTGTAACGAGATTCTTCTTCCATATGTGCGTCTTTTTAGAGGCGCTATGGGTCTGCAGTTCCTTTTCATGGACGACAATGCACCATGTCATCGCACAGTAGCTGCCGAACAGCTCTTAGAGAGTGAGGATATTGAACGTATGGATTGGCGTATTGGGGATCTTACGGTATTAAATGTGTTGATTTGGAAAGCTTTTGTACAAAGTTATATTGAAAAAACCGTCTCGTCCTTAATTTTTGCACACCAGTGTATATCTTAACTTGAAAATATATTTTTGCTGTAGGAGCAGTTTTCCTTGGTATTTGTCAGGAAGCCATTGTGGCAATGAAGGTAGATGCCAAATCATGAGCTCATGTCATGCCATGTCGTTAATTTCATTAAATTCATTTTCAGGAATTTTTTAGTAATATTAGGTCTTCAGATTGACTCATTTTAACCATCACAAACAATGCATGTATCACAAACAATGTATTTCAGTACATTTCCTTCCAGGTCAGAATGCTTTTCTATCTTTCTATAACTCTATAATTGCTAATTTCTTAATGTATCCTCAATAACTTCATTTGTTTAATTCCATCGTTTCACATTTGTTTGCCTTCATCAGTCTTTCTTCCTTCTACTCAATTTCAATTTTCTTGTGCGTGATGCACCACTTGCAGTTTAAACTTCACTATGTAGATCTCTCTCACTCAGCACTAATTTTCTGATTAATTCAAAAATTTTGAAATAAATAAATTAATTCAAAAATTTGAATAAATTTAAAAATAAATAAAAGATAATTTTGGGCACCAGCCTAACAAACATAGTAATTGAAATATGAGTAATTTTATGCATTGGATTGCATTATTTTGAATATTATCATTAGTTTTTTATATGTGTTATGCACGTTAAGCTCACACTGATGCTGAGAGTAATGTATTGCGTCATCTGAAAATTTCTATGGTTTTTCAAATTGAAGCGCATTTGCTTTTATTTATTTTGTTACTCATGATATGAAGTGACCAAGATCAAAGTGGATGTCTAAATACTGTCTTTTCTGCTCATATTACATAATTGTAGATTGTGTTGTCGCATAGATTTTTTTTACAATGCAGTTCTAAGAATGGAGATTCCAAAAATCCGTTTTCGTCATCATATCATCATTTATTTTTAAAAAGGAAAAAAACTGCTAATCAGACTGCTCATAAAATTTATGCTATTTATGGAGAAAAGGCTTTTTCTGATGACACAGTTCAAAGGTTTTTTAAGATGTTCAAGAATGGAAATTTCAACCTCAAAAATGATGTCTGCTCTGGAAAAAAGAAGGACCTAATTGCTGAGAATATGAATTATGCAGTTCGGGAATTATCAGACAGTAAAAATATTCCAAAAAGAACGGAACATGAGGATTTGAAGAAAACTGGTTATGAGAAGTGGATACCATTCAATAATATTACTGGAAAAAGATTGTGGAGTAAGCCAAAAGAATCTTCTTTAGTGACATGGGGAAAATGCTGCATCCCAAAAATGTAATGCTTTATGTGTGGTGGGACTAAAAAGTAACTGTGTATTATGAATTAATGTCACCTAATCAAACAATAAATTTATAGAAAAAATGTTCCTGAATGGCAGTTTTAAATGCAGAAATTGAAGCCAGGCTGCCAGAACTGACCAATCTTCAAGGTGTTGTCTGCCATTATGACAACGCTCGGTACCACATTTCGATGAATGTTAGATAAAAACTTGTTCAATTAGGGCTGAAATGTTTTGAATCACCCATCATATTTATTAGGCCTTGTCCTTTCGGATTTTTATCTCTTTAGGTCACTGCAGTATTTTCTGAACTGTCTGGTGTTTTATTTCTTTGGAAACTATCATAAAGCTCCTCAATAACTTCTTTTTGAATGAACCTAATGGTTTTTTAAAAAAAGAATTTTCTGGCTGTCTAAGAGATGGCAAGTCATGGAATAAAATAATGCTTGTGTGCTTTAGTAAAATTTTATGTTTCCATAATGCTTCATGTGTTTTTGTCATAAAAGTACTGCAAAACTTTCCATATGACCAATATTTAGGTGTTTTCAGTTACTGAAATTAAATCAAAAACTAACAATTAGAATCCCATTATATATTTCCCATTTCATTTTTAATAAAATTTTAATTTACCTTATAGCTAATGTTGAATGATATGTATGACAATACAATATTAAAAACAGTTATCTGATCAAAGTAAATCAAGATTATATAAATTTTCAGTAGTGAATCTTTTTTTATATGATTATTTCAATATATTATCATGTATTCATATTTCTAATTTAGTAAAAACATTTAAGCTGATGTATTTTATGATTTCCATCAGTGTTTTGTGTAATCTAATATAGACATTGAAAAGTTATGAAAGGAAATCATATTTTAGTATTAAGTTTGGTTTTTATTTATTTATTCCCCTCCCCCCCTTTTTTTTGCAACTATGTTATTGGTATTTCAGTAACACTGTAAACAAACTAGAAGAAACATTAAACAATAATTAGAAGCAGCTTCTTACCTTAATTTTGAGTGTAAATACTATAACATCAAATTAAATACAATATAAGAATATCTAATATAAATACTCAGTTTAGAATATATTTTTCAGTATGATATACAGTCAAAAGTCATTAATTCGGACACCCATAATCCGGAATAATCTATAATCCGGACCTCAAAGCTAAAAACTTTCTGCGTATGCGCCGCGTTGACACATGCGCATAGGCGTTTACGCGTGCACGTAAGACCTTTTACGACTGCGCATATGCGTGTGCGCAAGCGCAGAATACGTTTTCGCATGCGCGTTTTATGTATAACAGACGGTATAAGCTAAAATTATCTAATTACCTATTTCAGTTAATGTTGATGATAGCGTTGTTCCTTAATTTTCAAATTGGATCCGGCTTATTATTTTTTGCAGACTGTAAGAGCAATACTATAAAAGTAAGCTTGAACTTTCGATTATGTCAAATAGAATTTCCGATGCTGGAGCTACCAAAGGATCTACAAAACGAAAGTATGATTCGATGGCCATCAAACAAAAAGTGGAATTGCTGCAAAAAAATGGATAAAGACATGAAGAAGGTGACAGAAAGGTTAGTGAAAACGAAAAAATTTCGATTGACAAGTTAGTCGGTATTCTCGGCACAGCAATTACGGGACTTTGAACAGCGGAACTTTGTAACTGAACAAGAAATTATGTCTGTTTATAGAATTAAAGAAAAAGTATTATCACATAAAACGAAGCAACTTAAACAACTTACATTGAAAGAAATGTTTAATAAAGTAAACAAATAAATATTAAGCTTTTTTTTTTTTTTGTAAATTTTGAAACCCTTTGGATCATAATTGTTCTTTATTTCATAAATTACGGTTTCATATTTTTAATTTTAGAATTTCTGCATGCCATCTTACGAGATTTAAACTGTTGATCTATAATCTGGAATCGCCGAAGTCCCGACGAGTCCGGATTAACGACTTTTGACTGTATATGGCATACAGCATATCTTTCCTATGACTTATTATACTTGCTTAACTGTAATATCAGATTAAGGGCACAGTTTTTATCATGACCAATATACAAGGGCTGTGCCTATCTATGGCTTAGGCCTGGAGCACTTTATAGGTGATAATATGAATTTTTCCTTTTGTTCCTCGATTTTAAAGACGAATTCCTCGATATGGATCTGAGGGTTGGAAGAAGGGGTAGAGAGGTCCCACCCCTTTTCCCCTTCAACCAACCTCTGAAAAGGATTTTTGGCTCGATAGTATCTTAAGTGCTTCCATGTGACAAAGGTACTATATACATAAAAATATCACTGCCTTCTCTGGGATTCAAACCTGAGCTGGGCCTGAAGTTGTGGCAGCTGCATTCCTGTTATTACCAACAGGATGGCATTTTGTTATTACTGTGGTAGGACTTTATCAACAATAAGCAACAATTTCAGCAGATGCAGAAAAAGAAATAGCTTTAAGCAAAGAAAAGAAAATAGCTGTAACCAAATGGGAGATACTTGTGTTTTCTGGTACTCAGTTATTGCTTGGCATATATAAAGTTTCTTAGGAGGTCAGTTATTTTTCTGTATTAAATTGCACTTTAATTTTAAAAGTGGTATTTTTTGGCATATGATGTATGGCAGCAATAGTGATCATATACATTGTTAATCAGTCAGGATTAATAGTGCTTTTTATAAACATAAAGTAAGTTTCAAAATAGTTTGATCTATAATTTGCTTACTTGTTGTAAAAGTATTTTACAGTTTAAAACTCTATGAAAATCATTCATTGATGGTAATGTTATTTATAATGATTTAATTAAAACAGCATCAGATTTTATTACTGCAATTTATTATTCCAAAATTGGTTTGCTATATATACATACATGTACACACACACACACACACACCACATGTCTACATAGTGTGTGCGGTAATCTGCTGTAGGAAATGCAAGAGGAAACCAGAAGTTTAACATGCATATATTTACTTTGCTTTGAGTTTAACATGGCAACATTTATTGTAGCAACAAATTTAAATGAATTTTAAAAACATAAATTGTTGGGGAGTATTCTCTTAAAATAAATATAGCTATATTGAAATCTTTTAAAACTTCTTGAGATACTTTTATATGAGATTAGATTTTAAGAAGTTATTTTCCTTTTAAGGTCATAGTGGTACTGTAAGAGCAGTTCAAGTACTGGACAATGAAAATTCCTTTCTGACAAGCAGTAAAGATAAAACAGTAAAACTATGGTCTCTTAGAAGTTGTGGTGATGGTTCATCCCTAGTTCCTTGCCAGTGGACTTATACACAACATCGGAAGTCAGTATTTGCGGTATCATTTCTAGATTCTCTGCGTCTTGTTGGATCCTGTGACAGCACTGTTCATGTTAGTAATATACATTTTTAATCTTTTTCATAAACTTTACTATTAAAAGTATATAAGATGCTGCATAAATAAAACCGATCTGAGCACAAATAGTTTTATGTGAAGTTTGAGCATTGTTAAGAATTAATTGATAAATACTTGAACATCATAAAAGCCTTGGGGTTAAATATTAATAGAAAACTACCAAATTTTAAATATAGCTACAAAATAAGTGTAAAAATAAGCAATTGTAGTCATAAATCTACTTGCTGTAAAAACGTTTTTGACAGATTGCAGTAAAAAATAGCTTTAAAGTTTCAGTAAAAAATAGTTTTAAAGTTTCTTAAAAAACTCTAAATTAAAAAAAAATTAAGAACCTGTAATTTCAAAATTATATTTATATTTTGAAATTTGACAGAAAATTCGTAATACATTTAAATTAGAATTCTGTAAAAGATATTGCATACTATAAAAGAATATAAAAATTGCATTTCATCTTTGAAACATTTTTCTGCCTTACTATTTTCATTTGGCAGAACTAAAAATTGATTAATTTTAGACTCTACTTATCAATTAAAATACTAGTTATTAGCTGTATGGCTATTTATAAGCTTTATATGTAAATTTAGCTAAAACAATCATTATAAAATGCAAAATGAATGGCATTTTGAACTTAATTGGCTATATTCAGTATGACTTGAGCCTTTCTTTCATCAGAGTAAGTAGATTGAAGTAAAGATTGAATTTTGTCGATTTTTAACTCTTTCATCAAAGTTAATACAAATGAAGATTGAATTTTGTCTGTTTTTAAATAGCTAATATAAATATTAGTTAGGTTGTTCGTTTCTGCTTTCCTTTCCTTAATTATTTTAACGCTTGCAGATATGGGACCCTTTCTTAGGTTCTTGCATTAAGCAGCTAGAGCCCACTAAAGGAAGTCCTATAACTGTGCTTGCTGCAATGCCTGCTCCAAGTATGACTTTCTTGGCTGCTACTACCAACTCTACTGTAAGGTAAAAAATATGTGTTCTCAGTTTGTCATGCATAAATTCATAATGAAATTCTGTTTCATAGCAATATAGATAAAATGAAACTGCCTCCTTGAAAAAAATGCTCTAAAATTTACAAATGCAATATTTATATTTTGGGAGGTTTGTTATAAGGCAGTTCACTTCAGTTTAACATATTGCAATATGTTTTCTGGAAACTTTGTTATATTATAATAATGTTGTGATTTTTTGTATCTATCATCATTATTAAAAGCGTATGTGCCTAACCCATAGCATACCAACAATTTGTAATGTATCCAACCTTCTACTACTTGCTCATTCGGAAATTCTTATTAATCTTCTGTTAAGTCAGCTACTTTTCTCATATAAATTGTAATTTCCTTGCATGAACAAGTTTTGTTTATTGCATATCGTGAACAAGATATGTGCCTTTCTCCTCTTATACTTCCTTCATTTACTAACATTGATTGAACAGTCATATTATTTTAACTCTTTGGTGTGTGTACGTTTGAATCTTTTAAAGTAGTTGTTGATTTTTGTTTACATCATAGTTTTTATTAAAGAATAGTTCAGATGACAGATTTACTTATATACTGGTAGACAAAATTAAAAAAAAGGTACGGGTTTTCGAATGTAGCGTTGTGTTCTAAATCATCCACTTTGCCCACAATCATACCGTAAGATTCCCAAGATGTGAAAATAAGGGACAAGTGACCAAAACCATTCAAACAAGGAATAGAAAAGTTAAACAGCTCTTTATTGTAAAAATAGCTGCAAGCACAACTGGAAGGAAGATAGAAACGTCCATGTGACTGGCGCCAAGCAAGAAAAATCCAGTCTCTAGAAGGGGATATGATCATCCCTATCTGCGATGCATCCCCCAGGGTGGGGCTATTACCTGTTCTTAGAAAGACTCGGCAGCTGACGTACATAATCAATTTTCACAGGGACTAAAACCATCAATTCTTTGGTGGTAGGTTCAGACTCGGCAGGGATCGTACCAGTACTGTCTTGTCTGCCTCTTGGTTCTGGGGATGTTACGTGGTTAGATATCAAAGGCAAAATATAAAGATGACAAGAAGTTATGAAAACACGTTATGCAACTTAAGAAACAGTAGGAAGCCTTTTAAGTTATTGCAATATCATAAGGCACTGATTAGGAAGTAAATATCATTTTTTCATTCTTTTACATCAGTAATACTTTTTTCATTAAAAACTTTAGTAGTGAAAGCCAAAACAATTTATTATTGGGCGCCTCTGATGCAAGGTCACACAAAAATAAACTTGATTTAGCAAATTTCTAAAACATTAAAATCAAAAATAGTAAATTACAGTAACATATATTATTAAATTATTTTAATTACACATAAAAAATTGTCTGAATTAAATTAAGAATCACTGACTAAGCTTGTACAGCATTTTAAAACATATTTTATGTTGATACATTGGAAATAAATTGACAGCAATCGCAGTTAAATGAAAGAGCTGGAAATACAGTCTACATGATGTATAAATACAGTCAAAATTATTCGTTAAATACCTAAATTGATGCTTACCTTCTTCAAAATGAATATAAATACGATATAATAACGTTACTTTAAGGGAAACATTATATAATGCATAATTCCAATCATATTATCCAGTGTTTACATTTTTTTTTTTTTTTTACATTGGAGGGCCGACTGACAGATTTGGCGACAATACAATAAGGTCAAAAAATAACATACGATTTTAAACCATGAATCCCGCATTAAAATTTAAATAAAAAGTGCACTTCATAGTTATAATCACGCACAAAATTGAAATCAAATGTATAATATAATTATTTAAACTTTGTCCTTTCGCGATAATAACAATAAAGAAAATCACATCAGCATCTACTTATCGCCATCGGTATCTGTGTATTGACTATACACATTCTGATATTCATTTTGTACATATAAATCAGTTTGCCATTAATTAGCAATAATTAAATGATAATACACATTTCGCTGAAACATGAACACTTATTTTTTAACAATTATGAAAACATACTTCAAAAGCGCACGGTCTTGCGATCGGAATCTATTCCAATGGACAAGAATTAATTATCCATTTTCTTCGTATTTCTTCATTTCTCGGGAAATAGAACATACTAAAGTTATTTCTGGAACGATATGAATAATTTGATGCAGTGCATCCACGCATATTCTCTGAATTAGGTAGCAATCCATCAACACAAATGTAAAAAACACAACGCTAAATCAATGTCCACTAGCAACAAGTGCACTTAATTTGGATACAACACAGATGATGTGTCGGCTGCCCTTGCTAGGATCCTTATACACCCTATACTTTGATATAAGTTGCTGCTCACTCAGCAGATCTAAAGCATTTTCTTTAGCACACTTGATTTCTGTCCTTGTGAAAGCACAAACAACACAGCCGCCATATTGATTCGATCGTTTTTCGCCGCGGAATGATGGGTTCCAAGTGATCGCTATGAGAATGAGCGATCGCGAGCTCAGAGTGATCGTTGAGTTTCAATTGAATACCAAAACAGCAAAATCAATCGCAACTGATGACGTATGACAACTAACGATCACTAAATGTTTCAAATGAATGAGGCCTTTAGATTCGAAGATTTTGGGCCGAAATTTGTATACAAGCTCGAGCAGCGTTCGGGACATTTGCACCACTTGTGTAACACGCTAATCCGGGCAATCATAAACATGACGAATTATGTAATTTTTGAAGAAAGTATAGGCGAATAATTATTGATGATACATCCGATGACGATCAACTACCAGAGTCCTAGCTTTGGAAAGAAATAGTCCAAAAATCTGGGACTATACGATGACTCCTTGCATAAGAGAGGAAGCCTTATGTCAATTAGGAGGAAGTAGAGGAGAAATTTAATCTCATATTTGATGACATATTTTGAAACAATATTGTAACCGAAACGAATCAGTATGCAGCTCTATGAGAAAATCCACATAGAACACGAGTGTAAAAAGTGTAAAGTTCCGTTACATGTACCAGAATGCTTTGAAATACACTCAAGAGCCAAAATATTATGACCAGCCCTACATTTTGCGATGACGCGCCTGGATGACGTGGGAGGCACGTGATCAGGTGGAAGTGGTATTTAACTGCTGCTGGAGAGTCTGAAGAATCATTCCTTCACTTACTTCTGTGTGTGATGGGAAACGCTACGGATCTAAGGGACTTTGATAGAGGGCAGATTGTAATGGCTCGGAACTAGTATTTCCAAAATTGCACGACTCGTGGGTTGTTCGTGATCTACAGTTGTTAGTACATATGAAAAGTGGATGAATGATGGTAAAACCAGCAGTAGACGACATGGTGTTGGACGTTTACACGCTATCAAAGAAAAAGGTCGTCGGAGACTGTCTCGCATGGTGAAGCAAAACCGGGGCCAGACTGTGGCTCAGCTGACAGCCGAATACAATGCAGGGCCAAGTAGAAAAGTATCGGTGCACACAGTTCAGCCGTCACTGTTGGATATGGGGCTATGCAGCAAACGTCCCACTCGTGTGCTTTTGCTGACCACACGTCATCGCAAACTGCACCTGCGCTGGGCCCGGGAACATCGCGACTGGTCCACGGATCAGTGGAGAGAGTTTCCTGGTCAGATGAATCACGGTTTGTCATTCATCACGCCGATGGCCGTGTCAAGCTATGCCGTCATCCAGGAGAACAGTTGCTCCCTCAATGCACAGTAGGTCATACACGGGCCGGTGGTGAAGGTATTATGCTCTGGGGGATGTTCTCTTGGGCGTCTCTGGAACTCGTGGTTGTGGTAGAACAGACCATGAATGCCACAGAGTATCTGAACATCATTGCGGACCAGTTGCGCTCTTACATGGCCTCAGTTTTTCCAGCTGGAAATGGAATGTTCCAACTGGACAACACCCCGTGTCACAAGGCTACAATTGTGTTGGAGTGGTTCCAGGAACAGGATGCTGATTTCCAGTTAATGTCCTGGCCGCCTAACTCACCGGATCTCAATCCGATAGAACACATTTGAGATGTCATGGGACGGTAGCTCAGAGGTCAAAGACCACCAATTCGCAATATCTCGGATTTGCGTGACCGTTGCTACAACATCTGGTACAATCTATCTCCGGCCATCTATCAAGGACTTGTGACATCCATGCCAAGGCGGGTTGAAGCTGTGTTGCGTGCCAAACGTGGCCCAACTTGTTATTGACAGGTGGTCATATCATACCGTTACAGATTACTAATTCTGTACTTTGGAGTTTTGTATAAATAAACATTTTGTAATACTTGCGTCTACCACAATTATTCCATCAGACTGTCATTGCGTATCAAATATTCCACGTAATATTCACTTCTGGCCCGATCACCGTAAGCGGGCGAAAGTTAGGTTTGGCCGACCATCATACGCGGGCTATGCCCGTGAAAGTTAGGTTTGGCCCGACCATCGTACGCAGGCTATGCCCGTCATTGTAGATTAAGGGGTTAAATTAAGCAGAGGACTGCATTCCTGAGTTTCCTATAAAAGTAGGAAGTATAAAAATCATTAGTCAGTATAAAAAATCTTTGAAACAGATCTTGAACTTGTGATTAAAAGTTTCATATGTTATTATTATTTTTTTTTTAAGTTGAAACTACCATTACTGTTTTTTGAACTTTGTAAATGAGCTACATGCAGTAGACAGGATTAACTTATAATTTTATATATTTTTAAGGTTCTTAGATGCACGAACTTGCAGATATATGCATGAATTTAAAGTGAGTGTTGGTACTACAGGACTGATTCGTTGTTTGGCTGTTAGTCCAAATGGTCACTGGTTAGCAGTAGGTCACTCAACTGGTATGTTGTCTGTACTAGATGTCAGAACAGGTCTTTTGTTTGGTACCTGGCTTGGACATGAAGGAGAAGTTTTACAAGTAAGTTAAATTGTGTGTTTTTTAGCTTATTTCATAACCTGGTGTGAAAAAGCATAAATGCTAGGTCTCAAGTTACTACTGCCTATGTGATTAAATTAGGATATGTCGTTTAATCTTTTCATAGCTATTCTCTGAATGTGATTACTGTAAAGGGCTGTATCCTATAGAGGCCTTCTAATAATCTCGTAATTCTTTATAATTATGTTTTTTCTTAATAAAAGCAAAGAAAGTAGGTATTGGGTGCTTTAACGAAATGCTGTGACTAGGATCCCCCATTCTCTTAACTGGGGGTTGAATGGGAAAATATATGTCATCATCATTTGCTCAATAACCAATGTGAACATTATCTACAGAAACAATGTGTACAGTCATAGATTATGTAGATGCAGAAGAAATGTGAAATATGTAGTCACCCTTACCAAAAAAGAAAAAAAAAAAAAAAAAAAATCAGACCTTCCAATTGCTAGCCGGATGTCCTATCCATTTACACCATGAAAAACGCATGGTAAAGTGGGTAAAAATATTTTATATATTTCCCCTTTTAAAGAGCGACTAGAGTTAAGGAGATCCAATTGCTGGAGCCTGGTGGTGATGAATTATTGTCCAACTTTTAGTGTGGGTACCACTAGTAGAGTCACTGGGTTATATTAATGCAGGAGACGTGAAAAATGTGCAATGCCTTCACTGGAATTCGAACACCGGACTTAACTGGACGTGCTATCCATTTACATCAAGAAGGCACATGGTAAGGAGGGAGGAAATGCCTTGTAAATGCATTATCAAGGAGATTCGGTAGTACCTGAAGAGTATTCTACTTTAATGCATGAATTTGATTTCCTAAAACAATGCAATTCTGAAATGTGCTTACCTGTGCAATTGTTAACAGAGGGAATCTGAGATGGGCTATTTGGATGACAAATCAAGAGATAAACAGTTAATGACTACACACATGCCTATATTGGCTTGTTGTAATGTGATCAGAATGTATATATGACATTTTCCTGTTGGCAGATGATGCTAAGAACAATGTAGAATAAAGACTGTAATATTGGTTTCATAAAAAAGTATCATTGCACTTTTAGTGAAGAGATATGGGTTATAGGGGTGCATTTATATATTATGCCAAGGGTGGCCAAAGTGCGGCTCGCGAGCCTGACATGGCTCCTGCAGGCAATTTGTGCGGCTCATGCATATAAAATATATGTATGAAATATGGTAAACGAAAATTATTCAGTGTCCAAAAAGGAAGAAATTAATTAGTTTAGACTCTTTTTACAAAGTTATGAGGGATTTCTTTCTATTTAAAACCTCATCCACTACTTCTATAATGATGTAAATATGAACTTGTGCCTTTTAGAAAATCTAGATGCGGCTCTTGAACATTCATGAATTCGAATGTGCAGCTCTTACTGACATGAAGTTTGGCCAACTCTGTATTATGCCATCCTGCACTACATAGATCAACTCTGGAAGTAATAATTTGTAAGGGAATAACACAGTGGCATACACAGTGTAATGATGTAAATTTAACAGAATAGTGGCAGTAAAAAGTCTAGCTTCATTACCAGCTTCTTCTAATTCTCATAGGAACATTAGGTTAAAAAAGGGTGTTATATGATGCTGATAGGGTGTGCTCATAAATTGAATATTGTGGGTATGTGCATTAAAGAATTTGTAATATCATTTCCGATCACAAAGGATTAAGTTGATGACAAACTTTGTAAATGTGAAGTATTATAGTGCAATATATACATGCAAATTTTGATGAAATGAAATGCAGTGAGCCTTCTCTAGAATGGCTATCCATGCTCCTAAATTTTTTTTCTCATTTGTGGAGGGGAAATCTTAGAGAAGACACTACTAGTGATTGTGATTGTTGACATACTCTTTACCCATGTTGGCTGTTGGAGTCTATTAAAGAAAAATACTGACATGTGAGTGTGGTGTATTGGTTTATTAATGCCTGTTATATTAGTAAAATAACAAATTAACAACAAAGATAAATAGAATAAGAGTAGTCCAAAAATAAAAAAGTAAAAAGTAAAAACATTTCTTGATTTTTCTGAACTGTAGTAAATGAATATTTTAAAATATTGAAAACAAACTGTATATTTAAAGAGGGAATTACAAAATCCGAACATTATATAAATTTTGCTTAATAGTTTGTTGAAACATAAGATCATTTCGAAGCAGGAAACATGAAAAATGTGCAATGCCGTCGCCAGGACTCGAATCATGGACCTCTCGAATACGCGCCGAGTGTGCTGACCACTACACCACAAAGGCATGCTAAGAAGCCGGGAGAAATATCTTATAAATTTAAAAAAATGTTCACGTTTCATCCAATGAAATATGCCTGTTTCATTTTGCCTTTTTGTTAATAACTTCTTTCCTAAAATAGTTTGAACTCCCTAAATTAAAGGAACTAGCACAATTACTTTTCAAAATTATAACCTAATTGTTTACAGAATTTAGAGCTTATTGAGAAACTTACAAATTATGTGAAGGCTTTTACTTCTTGTTCTGCAGATATGCTAATTTAAAGTAATATCTTAATCTAACATTATTCAATTGAAATTCCTGAAATTAAAAATTCAATAGAAGCATATGCATGCATGCACTGAACTTCTGTTTCAAAATAAATATAATCTTTTGCAAATACCCTGAAAAACAGATTGAATTGCCTTGGTGTCATTTGAACATTGATTTGCTATGCAGACAGAAGATGAGAAAATTCATATAAATAATTTAGGAATATGATGAATCATATAAAAAGTACTGTTTCATACTTGTAGAATCAAGGTGTACAAGATAAATTAAGCTCTGTTGAGAAAGTCTTTAATTAATGATTCAGAAATGATTAATTACTGCTTTCAATAAACATATTTTTTGTTATTATAAGAACTGGAAATGTAACTCTTTAGTACCGGCGCTGTTAAGACTACGTCGATTTACACAATGCTACTTTTGACAGAGAATTAATGAGACCCTGATAAACGTGACGGCAGCTATTTTATACAAAAAGTTAATTAGAACTAGTGACCATTTTGGATACAATACCAATCTAGACCCAGGAATTTGAAGAAACAATTTGGTATTGGCCAGAGAGTACTAGAATGGCGTCCTACTTTCAATCTAGATGATGAGAAACAGGATCTGTAGCGGCCGGCTAATCCTTGTGAATATGAAGCAAGAAATGTTTGTTTGGAATTTTATTGCCCAGCTTATTAAAAAGAATGTCCTCCTGAAATCTTGCGCTATATGACGAAGACTCTACAACCTCGTTATCTGAAATCTGACTGGCTTAGAGTATACACTAATGGATGACGTTCAGTCGATTCAACAAATGTCAGTGCAGGAATATTTTGTGAATTATTCGCATTTTATATTCCCATCAGACATTTTGGAACTGTTTTAATTGTGAGATAGAAATTTGATTTCTGTTATGGTTGCGATAATGTCTGATTCGAAGGTAGCTATTCAGGCTATTGCTTCTGATGCCGCAGCTACATCTTTAGATATATTACAGTGTAGAATTTATTTGCAACAGCTCCAAGAGGAAGGAAATCCACGTTATCCAGGTAGATCCACACTGCAGAAAACCGGTATCTACCGGCTCACTGCAGTGCGGATGATAACGAACAAGCCGATCTGTGAGCTAAAAAGGGATCCATGGTTTCACAGATGGATAAAAATGAAGTTTCTTTTCAACTGCTAAATCTATTGTTAAACACATTTCGGCCCCTAAATGCCATCGAGATTTGGTGTGTAGAAATTCTACAAAGAGTTGGTTGAGGATTATTGAGTACAATATCCCTGATTGGCCTCATCCTGTAGCAGTGGCAACATTTCTACTAAAACGAAATGCTGGACATGATTGCTTGACCTCGCACCTGTTTAGTATCCTGCCAAGCTCATCTTACTCAATGTGCAGCAATGGTATTATGGATAGAGACCATTTTATGCAGTGCATTGCAATTCATAGAAAATCTGAAACTGGGTGATAGTGGTTTACGAGACTGCGCATGGGTCAATGACTTTTAGTTATGTGTTCTTTTGTTTATAAATCTTATTTATATATTTCATTATATTATCTTGTTTATATCAAGCACCTTGCCATTGAGGGGGCGGGACTTTTGTTAATTTCCTTAGTGCATAAAAAATTTTCATTTGATACCAAAATAAGACATTTTAGGAGTCATCTTAATCCATATTTGATTATCTTTGTTAAACTGCTGTTGACCAGGGAAAATTTTTGCAATTATCAGTATTGTTTGTCTATCACATCGGAAATACTAGTCATTCTCCGAGATGGTCATTAAAAGATTTGGTCACATATGAAGCTTCAGTTCAAAATTTATTTTATTTCGTTTTCTGGTACTAATTTTAAAGAGAAGAGTAATTCTTCATTCATTCAAAAGAATTTATGCTGCTTTCAGGACAGAACTTTTATTTTCCAGTGTGGCACTGCTGATTATTAAACCAGAAACATTGTTATTTGGTGAATGCAATGCCGAGTTATGCAATACCCAAATATGAGAAATGTCTGAAGCCTGACTTCAAAAGCATCTTCTTTTCCCTAATACCAGAATAGTGTTAAAAATTCACTTAACTATGCTTCTGTGTAAAGCAACAGAAGAAAGTTCTTTCTCTGCTTTAAAAAATTATTTAGAAATTTTAGAAATTTGGTAGGACAGGAAAGGTTGTCTTTATCAATGCTTGTTCTAGAGGAAAAGACGCTCTTGAATGGAAAGATTGCAAACATATTGATCAACTTCCTGAAATGGCAATCTGAAAATTTAATAAATAAATAAATAAATATCAAAGACAAATTAATCATTATATATTTTTTTAAGTTAAAATAGAAACTATTGTATTATACAGTTATCACTGTATTAGTGTTTTTATTCTCTAAAATAAATAAAAATTTTCAGCAACATGATTTAAGATATAATTAGATGCATCTTATATAATGAGGTTACAGTTCAAGTTTTCCACAGGGCCCACTAGAGGCTTCATCGGGCATTACACTCCAACCTGTGAATTTCAGATTTCGTGACATTATCAGCTATAAATCCATTATATATTTTTAATTATTTATTTATGAAATTAGCTTTACTGATAACATACATAATATTAATGCTGTTCTCTTTATTACAGATTAAATGTTTTCTGACTAATTTTTTGTTTTACTAGCTCAAAGCATTTAATAACTCATATTTTGTCACGTCTTCTCTGGATCATACTCTCACAGTTTGGAAATTTGAAGCTACTCAAGCAAAATGCAGCTTGAAGGGTAAGCCAACATTCTAATTTGCATAAATGTTTGTTTTCCTTGTATACAGAGGGAGAGTGAAATATGACTTCGTGTTTTGTTGCATTGTGTGATGAGAGTATTGCAGTTAGAGGAAATGAGGTAGTGACATTGGAAAATTAAATCTTGAAGTCAAGGAACAGTAAATAACAGTACCAAGCAAACTTAGTTTATTACCTCAAACTGCTTGCTGTTTTTATTGTTTTACAATCCTTACCGATGTTGCTGCATCATTGCTAAAAGCTTTTGTGGATGTCTGGCGTGTTCAATGCACTTTACATGTCCAATTCATTCCAATATATCCAATCCACTTTCTTCACTTTCCAACTCTCAATGGCAATAATACTGCATGCATTAAAATCACATCTCTCCAGTCTCACACTCATTTTGATAAACAGTCAGCCACACAGCAACAATAACTTGCTACTGCATATTCAGCTGCTTAATCTTGTCTAATGATAGGAGCTTAGGCATGTGATGGTTATTTTAATGAAAAGAAGGATGTTTCAAGTTTAACATTAAATTCTCTATTTCTGTGTACAGTGTAAGGTAACACACTGTATTTGCTATAAATGTGCAGCCATATTTCATAATATACATATGCAGCTTGTGTTATCTTCTATACTGTGGGAGATTTTTAAGTACAGCTTAGTATAATAATCCTCCAGCAGTTAGGCTTCTCGAAGAGAGGGTTATTTTTTTCATAATTTTTATAGAAATGCTGATATTTTTAAGTCTCTTTACGAAGCTGTTTTTAAATTGTTGCATTATTTACTGTATTTAGAACATATTAAATCTTTTAAGATGAATTTAAATGCTCAAAGTGAAAAATTGTTGCAGAAATAATGTACCAAAGTGTATTTACTTGTCTTACATTCTTAATACATAGAACTCTGTTTTAGATCGGAGTACTTTTATTTAAGACTGAGTTTTTTTTACTAATTGAATGTAAATAATCTAGACATTGTTTTGCTATCTAATGTAAAAGAGGCACTTGAAAATTTTTCTCTTAATACTTTTTATAGCCATTATATTTTTGATAAATAAAATTTTTAACTTCAGTGTAGAAATATAAACTGAGTCTGTGTAGTTAGTTGATACAGTCAAACTTTCTAATTATTTCTCAAAGCAAGAATACTGTAACTTTTTATATTTGGGTAGCTGTGTGATTTCTCATCATATTTTCAATTCCTTTTAAAACTGACATCTTTGTAATTGTAATAAACCTGATAACTAGTAACAATCCGGATATTGAATTTAATAGTTTAAACTTCTTGAAGTTCTAAATATAGTTTAGTGCAAATTATACCAACCAAATATTTTGTTGTGTTCTAACTGAGTAGCGATTTAAATTAATGTCCTTCAAACACTACTCGACTGACAAGCTAGTTGCCGCTCCAGTGTGAATTTAGATGACAAAGTCTTATGAAGATTAAAATAACCTTTTAATTAATTCTTTAAATTTAACAGAAGGCACCGCTTCCGCTTACAAACAAAACTCTGCAGCTTATGGGTATTTAAAATTCATGTAACATAGACAACGATTACACAAAATGTTCTACATAAGGTGGCTAAAATATTTCAATAGCATGTTTTAACATCAGCTAGCATAATGGCTAAAGCCGGAATAATCTCTGGTAGAGCAGGCGATGAGACGTTAAGTGCGGGTAAGGCTACAAAAAGCTTTAATAATGAAACATTCAAAATACGGACTTAAATATTCAAACAACTAACTCGCAGTCTCGTGAAAACTACGGAAAGAAGAACTTTATAGTAAAGAATCATAATAATTGGTTAATGAACATAAAATATCTTGTAAGTGTCTTCACGAGAATTTAAACCAAATGAAAATGAAAGTTTTAATTACCTTGGATGAGATTTTAAATTCTCAAATCTTAAAAGCTTGAGCCAAATCTTACAAAATCTTATTTAAATTATGCCTACATTTAAATTTACATTTCACGCCTTCAAAGAACTTTTTATTAACATTTTCTTTCTCTCATTTCTCGTTCCAGAAGGTAAAATAATAGGTGGTCAAAAAGGGTATCAGCACTATGATTTGGGTATAAAATAAAAAATCTAAAATTTCTATGATCATGAAAAAGGAATTTAAAGTATTTATGAACAAATAAGTGTACAGATAATAGAAATTCTGAGCCGAAAACAGTATTGTCTAAATGATGTCCTTTCCATTGTATGCATTCTTCTAGTCGAGAACGAAGATTACTGATAACGCATGCCTACATTTCTCACGAGGTCAGTCTTATTGTGCTCCTCTAATGTTTGCTTTTAACTCTTTTGGTACAGAAGAGCTTGACGCAGTTATACATTCATGGTACGAGAAAGTTTTCCACCAGAGTGTTGCACTGTACGGCAGCGTAAGCCTCGAAAACCTGTTTTACGGCATTCATATTCATTCATTTTAGACATACGACATTTTCAACAGTGAAAAGTATTGATCTCTGCTCATAATTTCACTGAAAATATTGCTTCAGAGAAGCTTATCTGTACACGAATATTCCTTTAATGATAAAATTTTGTTTCGTGTCATTAATAATGGCACAGGAAAATAAAATGATATAATTTGTTTGATTCCACCTTTTCTGAAACCTTAAGTGATCCCTTTTAAGTTATCTACTCCAGTAGTTGTTTTTTCCACAATGAGTTGAATTAAATCTTTAGAAAAAAGTACTCGGAAGTAATCTAAAATTCTTCTACGAGCAATTTAAATTATTTCCTACTACTCCCAAGTGTTGTGGCGTAAAATCATGAATTTTTGGGCTAAACTTCTAATAAGTCCAGATTGATACTAAAAGGAGTATCAATTCGAATTTAGCTTCCACTGTTTCTTCAGATTCTGAAGTGCTAAGTGTACATGCTGGATTATTTTTCCTCCTTTTGTGAAATGCTAAATTATACTTATTTTCTTCATCAGATTCACTTCCTGAATCAATTATTTCTTTTACCCATTGTTCTCCTTTCAAACGTTTCACACTCATCCTGAAGGGAACTAAATTCAAATTGTAAGAAAAACATTAAAAAATGTACAATATAAGCAAACATACTAATTTGTTTTCCGAAGCGTATTAGATTATTATAGAATATATATAATTAAGGTACGCTGTTATCTGTTAGTAATCATACAATGGAATGATTAAAGCAGCCAGCAATTTTACTCACACAATAGTAATGTACTAGATCACGCGCAAAGTAAAGCGTACTGTAGAGAGTAATAACACCCCCATAACTTTTCGCAAATGCCAGTTTTAGGTGGTGCGGCTGTCGTAGCCATAGAATGTTTCTTGACCGTCGGCAAAGAGCAGCGATAGTACCCAGACAACGTAACGCTGGCAAAGGGCGACAGGAGTACCCAGAGAACGTTTCGTGGCCGTCGCCAGTGGACAGCGGTAGTACATAGACAATGTTTCTTGGCCACCGCCAATGAGTGGCAGTAGTACTGGAAGAGTTAATTGATTTTGTAGAAGCTGGATTTTTCTCCTAGACCTTACTTTTAAGGTGTCAATAAGTCGGAGTTTCTAGGGAGCCAGTTAATATGCCGTCTTCTTGATATCACTTTATTGGAAAATAATTGCTGAACAGCTTCTATAGCCTGATTCGATGTGTGGCATGTGGCTCCATCTTGTCAAAGCCAAGTTTCTAAATTACCTTGAAACTGCTGTAGGGATGGCGCAAGAAAATATCGCAAATTTACACAGTATCACTGGGAATTAACGGTAAGTGCTGGTTTATTTTGATCCTCGAAAAAGTACTATTTGATGATGCTGTGAGAAGACATGGCAGCCTATGCGATCGCCCTGGGGCTGTGCACTGGACGTTCATGTTTCTGCGAGGATTAGTGTTAGACCAGTACCTGCAGTTTTGCTTATTTACAATGGCAGTCGAGATGAAAATTAACTTCATCTCCGGGGGGGGGGCATTTTCACAATTCACTTTTTCTCTTAACCTTTTTTTCACTGTTCAAGCTTTGTATTAGGTGAGTAAAGAGTGTAAAATAAGTGTTTTTAACAACTTCTACCTGCTAGCCGACTTTCATTTAACTAATTTGTAAAAGTGTTGACTGGAGAGCCTAACTTATAGATTAACTCATTTATAATATGCTAACTTTTAATTTTTATTTACAGTATACACTATGAACAACTCATTTTACTTTTACAATAGTTCCATTAGTTCTTAGCATCTGTTAGTAATACATTCAAGATACTAAACTTCAAAGGATTACATTTACTTAGTTTTAACTTTAACAATAATAATACGAAAAAGGATACACTAGTTACTATTTTGAATTGAATGCTCACCAAAATTTTCTCTTATTTACAGTTTTTTCGACTAAACTAATATAAGCATGTTTAATACACAACCATAAAATTCTTAAAGGTAGATCAGTGCATCATCAAAAAAGCTTCTTAGATTTCTTCGCTTGAAGTACAGCAAAAATATATTAGCAACTTTGTCTGCACATACACTGATGTCCATAAATTAAGGATAATTCAGAATCACATGGCGAATTGAACCCTACAGTCAAAATTTCACCTGTAGAATTATTGCACACATCTTGAAGAATAATATGCAAATAACAGAAGCTATCAGATGACGCCAATAGTACGTCACAATGATGAGAGTGTAAGAGAAATGTATATAATTAATGGTAGCAAAGAAGTAAAATTGTTCAGAAGAGTTTTGTAAGCCACTCAGTGCCACAACCACACAGAGGATACATGCGGATGATTTTTTACGTGGTAGAATTATTGGTCGCTTGAGAATATGGGCGTACTCAGATGGAAGTGTCCGAGGAACTTGGAATAGCCCCAAGTATCATCTCTAGGTTTTGGTAATTATTCCAGAATGATGAAAATGTCAGGAAACGTTACAGTACAGGTCGCCGCCCCCCCCCAGTTATAACGCCGAATGACGACTGGTATCTGGCAGCAACTGCCAAAAGAAGAAAATGAAGCACAGCATCA